GTCATTACTTATGATAAAGAGCTGGTAAGTTTCTTTCGCTTGTTCTTCTTGTTAGCTAAAAGACGTCCTGAACAAGTGGTAGGGGAAAAAAAGTTTTTTGGACGATTCAAAAGTGCTTTTAATAAGCCTACTTGAATAAAGGTATTTTCTTTTCATTTGCCGTTCATCCTGCGTTCTTTCCACAAGGAAGGTCTATGCTTTACCAGTGATGACATTAATAGGCTCACGGTGATGAGTGCATTAAGAGATGGAATCATCTTGTTTATTTTCTATCCTCAGTACTATGTCACAACTTAACTACACATCTCTGAGAGTACTCTTCGAAGATCTTGTGTTAGGCACGAGCTACGAGCTGGAAACAGCCAGGAACATATTTCTGGAGGTACTCCCGTTCGCTGGAACAGACGCTACAGTCAAATTTGTGAAATACTTGGTTCTTGAAGAAAAGGTAATTAATCTCTAATGTATACACATATAAACTAAGTTCCTTGTAGTTGATGAGTAGTTAAGAATACATAATAAAAAGAGACAAAATATTGTTATAAACACCCAAGTCATCATCATCATCATTATCAGCTCTTTATTTCGTCCCCACTGCAGGGACTCGGGCCTTCCTTATGGATGGTTAAGGAGCATGGGCCGTGACCATCCACGCTGGCCCAGTGCGGATTGGCGGATATTAACGACAACAAGTGCAGCCGGGACCAACGGCTTAACGTGCCTTCCGAAGCACGGAGTAGCTCGAGATACTAATTTTTTGGTCACCCATCCCGTGACCGACCCTTGCGAAAGTTGCTTAACGATTTTGTTGCTTATCGCGTGCCGCGGCGCTTATCCACTACGCCACCGAGCTACTCGAAACACCCAAATAATAAATACTTACTTATAAATTGTAAACTGTACACACAATTTCGGATATTTACTTACTGTTCGTTAAATTTTTCCCACCTATGCAAAAAGAAGGTACTACCTCTCACCTCTCTGAAGTCATTAAAATATTTTTTATTTGTCGTATTTTTACCAACTCTATGTCACAGTGGTTTCTGTGATACGGAAGTTAAAAACTCTCGCTAGAACTGATCCCGGGAGGGGTCACTTCAAATTTATTATCTCAAGATGTTGCGTACTTTTGCGAAAGGCACGTTAAGCAATTATTTCCGGCTACATCAGCACCACCGCCAATCCGCACTGGGCCTGCGTAGATGATTCAACTTTTGCGTGATCTGTATCGATTTATAAAGAAACAGCTATTTACTGCGACTTCGACCGCCTATATTATATCTTAAGTCACCACCTTATTACGAAGTTCCCATAGATGAAAGAATTTTGTAATATCTCTAATAGTTTCGAAGTCTATTGAATGCAAACAATCAAATCTTTTCTTTTTACAATATTAGTATAGATGTCAATAATTTTCCAGGAAAAAGTTGAAGATTCGGCCCTATTAGCTCTCATTAGGAAATTACCTTTCAACACGGCTAACTACAGCCAGGACTTACTGCAAGAGTTGGAGCCGTTCACGAAATTAGGTATAAATATATAAATTAAGCAATAGTGTTATTTTTAGAATAATAACAATCGTTTCTAAATCTAAATCACTCCTTAAAATTGCCGTAATATAATAAAATTTACGAATTTATTTAGTAGGCATATTGTTGCTTATGTTTGTGGTTAAAATATTTGATGACTGTGATATTTCAATCTATAATTTATTAAAAATACACCATTTACGATATATTCAAACTTTTTTGATTATAGGTTTCTCTTAACAACGTTATTTTAATTTAAGGTCAATGTATTGTTTCCATAAAGCCCATGTTTTAATTGCCCCTCTTTACTCAACTAAATTAATTAATAAATGTGCTTTCTATAAATTTATTACTAAAGATGAAGCTTGTTTTACATTAAATTCTGTTGTAAACTCTAAAACAAACTGCAACATCTATGTATAGAAATCTTTGGCTACGAATATATAAAGTTTTGGGTTTATAAAAATATCAAATTTACCAATTGTTTTGATATAAATCCTTAAATAGTTTTCATGACAGTTATTAGCTATTTTCATTATTAGGCCTGGACTTCCCCCAAGAGATAAGACATGCCGCTATCCTGAGCTACGGAACAATGCTGTATCAGGCGAAGAGAGCAGAAAGGGTTGGCACAGATTATTTTGATAACATGGTCGTTAAATACTTGAGGATGTACAGTGGTAAGTGATAATTGACTGCACATAAAGACAAAAGAACGAGACGAAATCAAGAGAGCAGTCAATGAAACAGTTAAATATGGAAGATAAAATGAATGTCGTCAAATTTTATTACTAATAAACTGAATCGAAACATTCTGTTTCAAAATAAGTCACGTATTTATCAATTGAATTAGTGTAATAAGTGTATACGAATAAGTATAATTTGTAAATGAATTAAGTTGTAAGTTGTGTAGTTTTGGACACATATAATGAAGTTATTAGTTCTATTTTAATTGTATTTTATATTTTTGTTGTTAAACAGTTGAGAGATTTTGAAGTAGGCAATTTCTTATTCCACAATGTAAAACACACTGTAATATTTTCAGCTACTGAAAGCATTAATTGGTTTCCTTATTTCCCTCACATCCTAGCAGTAATGGCATGTAGAATAATATAATGGTTAATTTTGTCAAAATCATTCCTTGACAAATTTCTACGTTATAATAATTATGAGTGTAACATACGATATTTATTAATTTATTATCATAAGACACACTAACAGTACAAAAAATCATAACATTAAAAACATAATTACCAAGAATCACATTTTATATTTGCACCAATAATAAGCGTGTACAGCGTTTGCAATTTTGTCACAATTCAAATAAAATTTAATACGAATTTTCAAATTATGAAAAAAAAAAACAAATCTTGAAAGAAAGTAATACGTTATGAATATTTATATATTATAATGAATACATTGCAATGTTAAATTCTAATTAGTCAATAATAATAGAAATTAAAATATTTGTATGTTAACATTGCATGTCAATTTGAATTAAAATTAGTTTAAAAAAGTGATTAATCTAAGTAATTGTAATAATCAAAATGCTCAATAGAAAAATACTCTGTAAAATACCCCCGAGGACAATGATTCCAGCAGAAATTTCATTTAAATCTGTATAGTAAATTGCGCTGTATGTTTATAGACCATTCAGTTACTTTTCTCTTTTTAGTATTAATATTCCCACTGCTGGAGTTCATCACCAGCCCTTTTACGTCCCCACTGCAGGGGCTCAGGCCTTCCTTATGGATGGTTAAGGAGGATGGGCCATGACCCTCCACGCTGGCCCAATGCGGATTGGAGGGTATTAACGACTGCAAATGCAGCCGGGACCAACGGCTTAACGTGCCTTCCGAAGCACGGAGTAGCTCGTGATAATAATTTTTTGGTCACCCATCCCGTGACCGACCCTAGCGAAAGTTGCTTAACGACTACGATCGCGGGCCGCGGCGCTTATCCACTATGCCACCGAGCTACTCTTAAGTCGGTCATCCAATGCGGATTGGTGGGTATTGACGATTGTAGATGTAACCGGAGTTCGAAGGAGTTCGAAGTAATAAATGTTTGATCACCCAGTTGCTTAACAACTGTATCTCAGACCGAGCGCACCAGCCACTGCGTCATCGAGCTCCTCTATCTTGCCTTATACCTTTTTAATAATAGATTATTATTTCAGATTGTCCTCACTACATGGACAGGTTAGTCTGGCTCCAAGGCCTTTGTAACATCGGTTACTCAACGCAGAAGTACACCATGGAAATTTATACTGACACAAGTAAGAAGAGAAATGAACGTCTGTGGGCTGCATTCGCATCAAACTATATCGACAATCAGTACTATACTGATGAACCCTTGAAGGCAAGGAAAAGAACATAGCTATATATTAATTTCTTTCATCACAGAGCGAGGAGACGAGATAAAGAGACTCTACTAGGTTTTCTTCTTATTAGGCGCTACACTCTTGACAGAGTGGTCGTGGTCGTCAAGTCGACATTAGTGGCCTGCTTCACAATGCGACGCCACTCCTCGAACCACCTGATATCTGATCGGTCCACCTCATGGGTGATCTGCCGCGCGGTCTGATGCCCTCAATCTAATCTAATACATACATAATAAAACCAGGTCTAATCACCAGATGTTAAGTCATAACTGGAAGCAATAATACTGTCAATGGTCTATGGCAGAGTTTTTCAATCTGTTAGCTATACGAACCCCCCTAAAAAATTCCAGATGACAGCTGCGAACCCCTTAAATAATAATCAAGAAAAAATTTAGATGTCAACATCTAGTCGGATGTCAAAATAATCGTAATTTACTAAAAGGTAACAAATACAGTGGCAAAATAAATATGTCTTTAATATTAATTTGATTGAAGGTATTGTTTTTGGCCTCAAATCTATTCAATTTTAAACTTCATCGTCAAGTCATCGAGCCACATTACGTCAAAATCTTGTCGCGAACTTCCTAACATCGAATTGCGAACCGCTAAGGCTAAGGGTTTGCGTACTTCACTTTGATAAACTATGGCCTATGGAACCCAAATTTTGAAAATGTTTCCTGAAGAATAGGTTTAATGCTGTGATAATTGTAATAAGCAACTGTATTAAAGATTAAAAGGTGGTTGTAGCCTTTCTTAAGGACAGTACACCACTAACATCGTTCTACCTGCGCAGAAGGCGAAATTTCTAAGCACACCAAATCGGAATGGTTCAAGTAGCGCGCCTGACACACGCCGTATGGTACTGGTAACCTACTGCGTTTTATTTTATACTTTATAGTTATTAAAACAAGACTCATTATAAATTTTAATCGGACGTTCATTCATCAAATGTAATAAGAATGATCTGTGCATATAAAAGTTCACAGAGTATAGTATAAATTAAGTTTTATTAAAATTTACGAACATTGCAGGCTATTGAGTTGCTCCTGCCGGTCCTCACGAATGAGACAGAAAATGGTCAGATAAGGATGGCAGCTCTACATGCTTTCTTGTCCGCGACCACTATAACACAGAACGATTTTCTGTTTGTGCATAATTACGTGAAAAACTCTGGTAACGGAGCCTTGAAGAGGTTCTGGTATACCGCCATCAAGAGTTTGGAGGAGAACAGGAATTTTCTTGGATACAAACTTGCGTAAGTTTCAGTTTGCGTAAGAAAACATTAAGATTCCTCCACAAAAAAAAGTAGTGTTCCTAACACAAGAAATAAAAATAAACTTGCCGTTCCAAGCTTCAGACTTCAGAAAACCAGAGGGCAATTTCTGTGAAAATGCATTGCTATGTTCAATATAGTTACACAAAATGTAATTGACCTACCCATAAATAAATTTAAAATTCATGTAAAGAACATACTTATGAGTAAAGGCTATTATAAAGTTCATGATTATTTTAAGGACCGCAATGCATGGCCTTCGCTTTGATTTATAACGATTAATTATATGTACAAACTATGATCTAAAGACTTTGAAAGCTGTGTTTATTATTGTTAATGTCATTATTTATGATAAAAAACTGTAAGTTTCTTTCGCTTGTTCTTCTTGTCAGCTAAAAAATGTCCTGAACAAGTGGTAGGGGAAAAAAAATTTTTGGACGATTCAAAAGTACTTGAATAAAGATATTTTCATTTCATTTCATTTCATTTCATTGACCATTTTGCACAAAGAAAATTATAGTTCTTCGTCAATAATATTTGCTGTTGAGATGTGGAAATTAAGTAACTATAATACTTAAACTATAATACTTAAACTATAATACTTAAATAACTATAATACTTAAATAATCCCTTGCCTGTCATAGGATGGGTGACCGATGGGTGACCGTAATCCGTAACCAACTACATCTGCAGACATTAGCAATTCACATTGGGCCCGAGTGACAGATGGCTCTTTCGCCCTATTCAATTCGATTCCATCCATATGTTAGGCCTTGAGTCTCAGTGGTGAGAAGTTTAATAGGCTGGTTGTAATGAATCTTAACTGTTACAAAGTTGGTTTATCTTATTAATATCTTAAATAGTATGATAATTTTCTTTTTACAAAAATTGGGATCAGAGAAGTTAATCTTTGATGACTTAATCCTAAAAATCATTTTTCTAGGTCAGTATTTCTTCCTTCTGTGGCAGACCTAGTGTTTGATCTAGACCCTGAATATTGGGCCACGAACAATGTCATCTTCAGTTCAGAAGACGACCAGTCTACCTCCATGCATCTCCTCAGCATGGCTGACGACACCGGTCTACCATCCTTCGCAGGTATTAGGCTCTCTACAGCTGGGAAAAGAGCTTCGGTTAGTATTCTTTCAAACATTAAAAAGACAGGAATTTCTAATAATTTGAAATAAAACCTCCGTTGCTCAGTGATTTCAAGGTTTCACCACCTCAGAAGTCCTCTGTCAATGGAATTAGTGTAGACAATGAACTTTACTAAATTAGGTCTAGGTGTTATGACCCTTAATTGTCAGAGCTACTCTATAATACGAGAGCTCTATATAACCTAGCTAGTTTTTAAATTTGAGCTATATATGTGATATTTACAAACCTAGACACCCAAACTGGACCCCCAAATTGACCTGTCCGGGAATCAATCCTAGGATCTCAGAGGCAGCAACATATACCGGGACCTCTGTAGTTTTGACACAAACCAGCATACCAGCTTTTACGTAACGAAGGTCGTAAACAACAAAAGTGATTTTGAGGTTTTTCATTTTTTTAAATTGTAGATAGCTTAGAATTTAGTATTTTTCAGGTGTACATAGTAGCTGAAGGTGTGGCGTCGAATATGTACAAACGCATGCATAATTTCGATGAAACAGAGATGAGTGTCGAGAAATTAATCGACCTACTGAAAAGCTTGAAGATCTGGGCTCTGAAGACTACCGAGGATGTGAGTAATCTAATTCTAAAATGAATGTGAGGCACTGGCCTTAGCTTGGCTACTTGGCTTGGCCTTGGCTACTTGGCCTGGCCTTCATCATCAGCCGGAATACGTCCACTGCTGAACATAGGCCTCCCCCTTTGAACGCCACGACGGACGACATTGCGCTAGCTGCATCCAGCGGCCGCCCGCGACTCGGACGATGTCATCCATCCATCTAGTCGAGGGTCGACCCTGGCCTTGGCTCACTGTAAATAAAAATGTCAACAAACTTTCAAATGTTTGAAACCTTTTATTAGAAACAATCCACAGCTCTTCTAGGAAAAGATTTTTACATTATAAAAATATTCGGTATTAGGAAAAGAATCAACTGTATTGATGACAAAATTCTTTATTATCTTATCAATCAAACTGTCATTTTTTCATATAAATTGTTGCCTACTTTTGTATTATTATCTGTACTACCAATAACGTAATGACAGACATCGTTGACAAACAGACGACATTATTGCTTTGAGAAATGATAGTGATAATAATCGCTCGATATATTAATGTATCTAAGTAATGGTCAAAGTGGACATATTTGTTGCTTTGTATTATGACGCAACAGTAAAATATACTAACATGAAACTGATACTTATGTTTAACGCGACACGACACATCAAAATGATTGCTGAACGAATGATATTGAGAAGGCCTACCCTCAGTGGCGTAATTATACAGTTTGAGGCTCGTGGCAAATTCATCGGATATTCAATTTTTTACCTTATAAATGTCAATGTCAGGAGTAATAAATGTAAATGCAATAATAAATGTCAGGAGTAAGGAGTCTCCCCTGACCGGGGGCCCCTTCCAGCAGGGGACTCGTGGCATTTTGCCGACTCGCCACCCTGTAGTTACGCGACTGCTACCCTGTCTGTCCAGTAACAAAATTCCACCTTTATTCGCAATAATTGGATCTAAAACTGCCTCCTCTAACAGACCAGTTCACGACACAGACAATCTTCAAGGATATGATTTAAAAACATTACAAGCACGATTCTAAACCGTTCATGAACAAACATAGTTAACCTTCAGCTTCTTTATATTAAATTTTGTCACTGGATTACCTACCACACTACCAGGCAAATATTTCCTAGCCCTATCCTGATTGCTAGCCCTATGACCTAGGAAAATTGGTTTCACCGAATCCAATACCGCTTATATTAAGGACTTATCCAGTAAGCCAGTCCAGTAAAATTAGATATAATTGAACTGCCTCGACCACTGGCTTCAGGATAGTCTCCATTTACACGAAGCCAATGCTGGACGAGCTTTCTGGATTATTTCGGCTACTGGTCTCATATACCTGCAGCTACGTTAATTACCCACTGCTTCAGTGCTATTCAATAGACGTACACCACACACACACCAGATAATCCAACGGTCCACGATCCAGGGCGTGGATTTAATTTCATGTAACTTCGTGATGAGAATCGCGCAGGATAATGTCCAGATCGACTGAATATTTAATCCCCTCCCATTACTACCTACAGAATAAGATCCCTGTAAGATCACTAGCCCTACCCAAAAATTATCCAAGATACAAAGCCAAAACCACTTCTCATTCACAATCGTTCTTTAAATATGATCGTATATTTTTTAGGTTCACGTGGATTTTGTGTTCAAAATACAAGAGAAAGCGGTATTTGTCGCTCATATGAACCAAACACGCTTCGACAGTTGGAATCTAGTTGAATGTAAGTAAGACTAATTATCAATCATCAACAGCTTATTAACGCCCCCACACTGATTTTCCCTATGAATGGAATCGAATTGAATAATAAGAATGAACCATTACCACCACGCGGGTAGAGTGTGGATTGGTGGGTGTTACCTTCTACAAATGCAGCTGGAACTAACGGCTTGACGTCTATTTTGGAGCACTTAGGAGCTCGAGTTAATATAGTTTTAGACACCCATCCTTTGACCGGGTCATGCGAAAGTTGCTTTACTTTGAATGCACTGGGATACGTCATCTTAGCCATGTCGTGGCGATGTCTAGTATCATATTGTTACTTTAACATGTTTTTGGTGGATAACTTTGGTATAAACCGGGTGGTTTCTGAATTGAGAGCTGTGCTTAAACAGGTTTTCGTTTCTGGTTTAAGATTTTTTAAGGAAAACTTTAGTAAAAACAATTGTGATGTTGTACTTTTCTCGGTTCAGAAACCGTCTGTATGTAACACTGTTGCGAAATTCATAATCATTGTATTTGTCGAAAGAGGCTGTATTATTTTAAGATTTTTATGCGTTCTTTTGTTCTTGTAACACGTAAGATTTCTGTTTAAATTATTAATAATAAATTATGGATTCTGTTTTATGCCGTTTGATTTTCGTGAACGACGGAAACTTAAAAATTAATAATATTTACGCACTTATATCATGCACCCGCTTCAGCACCACTCAGTTTCAACCAAAGACTTTTCAATAAAACCGTTACCCAACTATTTTTTAAATGTAACCATTATATTGCTAACCAAAATTTAAATGTGCACACTAATCAAATAAACTGCATTTATAAATGTTTTCTTTGTTGCTCAATTGTATAATCTTGATGCTTGCTTATTTTATATCTGAACAAATATTTATCGCACACCTAGATCTAAACTGAGACAACTCAAAATTTTGAGTAAGTTTTGACTTAGTATAATATTCAAATACTCGGTGATCATACGCATCTATCCAACATAACAGATTCAATAAAGGTTCGGGGATGAGCCGCTAGATGACTTCTTTTGTTGAATCAACTGTGGTCGCGCTCCTGCCACGTAAAAAAATATACTTATTGTCAGACCTCCACATTAGTTTTTTGAGTTGTCTTAGCTTAGATCTAGGCGTGCGTTCAAAAAACTAATGTGGAGGTCTGACAATACATTTGTTTACTTGGCAGGAGCGCGACTACTGTTGTTTCAACAAAAAAAAGCTAAAGTTATCTAGCGGCTCATCCCCGAAACTTTATTGAATCTGTTATGTTGGATAGATGCGTATGATCACCGAGTATTTGAATATTGTACTTAGTCAAAACTCACTCAAATTTTTGAGTTGTCTCAGTTTAGATCTAGGTGTGCGATATGCTTTCCAATTGAATTATAATTTCGAATGGAATTATTAATTGAATCATAAATGGCAATCCGATCCAAATTAATTACTTCTCTTTTAACAGTGGCCAAATCAGTGAATGAATTTCTACGATTGGGAAGCCATATCAATCAGCAGATTGTCTATTACCCGGCACAGATGGAACTCATATTTCCCAACGAATTAGGTGAGATATTAACTTACTTTCCTTTTTAATTCAGGTTATTTGATATTCAATCTCATAAATTATACTTAACAACTATAAAGGCAGCGGCAATTCTTAATTGAATTCATGCCAGAATTTGCTGGCCATGTTTGTACACCACTTCAAATGAAATAACTTGACTTTGTATTATTTTTCGTTAAGTCTGTTTTAGTTGCAATAGTGAATTTAGTTTACCGCAAAAATTAGTTAGCTCACAACAGTTGTGAACTATTTCAAGTTTATAAAGAAACTCAATCGCGATCTTCACGAATTTGAAGCACCCCCTTGAGACATGCCCTTTCAAACAACAAAATAATAATCGAAATCCGTTTACTTTTGACGGAGTTATTGGGCAACATAACACAGAACCTTCTATTAGGCGTTTTCAAAAAAGAAATGTCCTTTTGTAACATTCTCTATTCCATACTACAGTCCTTAGCATTTGGATATCCGATCGCGATATTCTAAAATCAACTAAATATGCTATAATGACTTTTGCTACTTAAATAAACAAATAAGAATCCTTGAGAGAGAAAGAGAGAGAGGCAATTTACATTGATAACGCTATTTTACGTTTACACTGAATTCTTTATTGAATAATATTCTAGGTATCCCAGTACGACTACAAACCACTTCCGTGTCCTTCACTTCGATAAGAGGTAACCTGACTACACCAGCAACTGATATACACATAAGGTATAGTAATGAATTTGTTTTAATATAATCAATATTAAAACAAACATTAACTGGACAGTTCTCAAGTCGAGCAACTAAAGTTCAGATTGATCTGATTGTTTCAAATACATTTGAATAAGTAAAATGCATGAAAAAAAAATCACTATTTAGAGAAGTTAGCGTTGAAAAAGCAAAAATATCTGTCATTATTGTTGCCATCATTATTATTTCTATCACCGTAATTCTTACCCTCGTGTGAAGAAAATATCTGATGTAAATATTGATATTTACAAGATTTTTATGATCATAATTATTTCTTTCGACATCATTAATACCGCCATCCTCTCCTGGCCCTACTGACCATACCATTATAACATCTAATCAATATTTTAAATGTAACCATTACCTTTACCAATACAACACAACACAACACAAAATAGCACAGCACAACACAACTCAGTATAGCACAACATAGCATAACACAACTCAACACAGCACAACAAAGCACAACATAACGCAACACGACACAACACAGCACAAAGCAGCAGAGCTCAGTACATAACAACACAGCATAACACAACTCAACACAGCACAACAAAGCACAACACAACAAATCACAACACAGCACAACAGAACACAACACAACATCACACATACACACCACTGTTGACAAAATTAATAAAAAATCAAGTTTATTAGACAAGGTCGGCCTTATCGCTTAATGTGTAAAATTCGTAATACGTAAATTTCTTACAGATAGACAGTGATATATGGTATCATCACCTATCTTATTTCTCAATAAAACAATAAAATTAGTTTGATTTTTGATACGTTTAGTTTTTTCTATTCAAATTATTCAGTGATTATTACAAATATGGTTTCGTAATAAGTTTTTGTCCATTAAATTACAGCATTTAATTTATCCATTAAACTGTCCAAAGGAAATATTATCACTCACGTCAGTTAACCAATTCTAAACTTTATTCGTCAGGTACCAAGGTATGTCCCTGGTGTCACTGTCCACATTCGGCCCACTGGTACAGTCGGAGCACGCGGCTCGAATTCAAAAATCTATTGTGACACATTTACCGATCAAATTCAATATATCACACACACCTATCGGGGTGTTCAAGTAAGTTTATTATTCTTTTAACAATACTATTAATCATAAAATTAAGCAGAAATAACAATAAGTCAATAATTAAAATTTTCTTTAGATTTAAATAGAAATTCAACTATATTTTAGATATAAGGATGAGTTTTGAATCAATGCTGAAATTTCTTCCTATTGCTTATTATTTACAAAGAATAATTAAATAAAGAACCGGCTAAGTGCGAGCCGTACTCGCGCACGAATAATTCCGTACTGAAAACGTGCGAAATATTATATTTGTTGTATGGGAACCTCTTATATATTTATTTTAATCTGTATTTCAATACTCGTTGTTATACAGGCACCAGAAATACATTATCTGTTAATATCTCAATAGGGATGATGACTGGGTAAAAAAAATGCAATTCTATTTAGTCCGACAGTCAGATAATAGAAAAATATTAGATACGTATTTTTTTACTTCAATTTAACAAGAAATAGCTTAGATAACAGGCATTAAAGTTGAGGAGTGGGGGTTCGCTACGTCACAGTTTAGTAGAAAACGTACTCTAACGTGACGTCAGGCGAAATTTCAACTCAATGTAACGCCGTAATTTTCTGTTTACGAAAAAAATAAAAAAATACGTGTTTAATATTTTTTAACACTCTACCTGACGGACAAACAAACAAAAATTAGTCATCATCCCTATTGTTTAACTATCACGGTTCATGAGGCACATCTTGGTGACAGAAAAAAAAATACGTTTGTTGTATAGGAGCCTCGTTAAATAATTGTTTTGTTCTGGCTTTAAGTATGTGTTATTGAAGCGGCAACAGATACATCAATATATTTATTTTTAATATTGAAGCCTTTCACTTTAAAATGACCATGGCATAGACTAAAATTGTTTTGTGGGCTTTTCTGATCAATGATTGTTATTTTTATCAAACGCATGGTAGTATGCGTAATGTTATTTTTCTATTTTAAAGTAGTATCAAGCACTGCGAACGTCCATTAAGGTTTAATGACGCCTTTAAGCTCTAATGAATGTCAAATATGTATGGGTAATGTCAAATCAAATCAAAATTGTTTATTCAGTTGAGGCTTTTACAGAGCAATTGAGAGAGTCCAAAACTACGCCATGTTGCTTTAAACTAATGAACATTTTAATGGACGTTTGTGCAACTAGCTATTGCTCTTTTAAACTTTTAAGTGTGTCTAATCTGACCTGCGTACATGCGTTAAAAGTTAAAAGGTCTCGAACACTTTTTGTAGCATTATTTCTTTTTGTGACCTCAGTCTCAGTAAATAGTAATTGAAAAAGTTTGTAAATTAATATTTGAGGGTTGGAGATTCGGTTAATAAATTTGTTGATGGATCCCCAATGTTATATATCGTTATAAAAAAAAATGTTGCATATGGTATTTACCTGTAATTGTTTGATACATTTCTTCTTGCGGGCTAAATCAAGTTATTATTGTATGTAATAATCTATTAAATGTTGTTAAACATAATAAATCAATCGAGCACCATAAAAAACAATCAAAATAAATAAAAAAACATCATCCGCGAAAAATGCAGCTGTCTAACTTTCACGGTTCATGATATACAGCCTGGTGACAGACAGACAGACAGGCTTAGTCTTAGTAATAGGGTTCCCGTTTTACCCTTTGGGCACAGAACCCTAAAATCTTATTAAACAAGCTGTAAGTCATTTTTCCGGCTACGGATGCAGTAGAGAGAGTTCATTGCGTATTTATAACGGGTCTGCAGTCTCGATAGAGTTTGCGATAGCAATCTTAGTGTATTCGCTCGCTGACTCATAGCGATCGTGATTTAACAATTATTGCGCAGTCTCTGCAGCTAAGTATATTGTTGTTAGGTGCGTACCAAGTTCATTATCAAATAAATTAGCGATATTCGTTAGTCTCCTAGCGATCGAGTTTGACAGCTCGGTCAGTGAACTCTGCGATCGCTACTTAACGATCACAAACTCTGTCGAGACTACTTCAAAAATCTTTTTTTTTTATTGTAGTTTCAAAACCGACTTTATTTTGCCGATGCCGAACGGTGGTGTTGTGATACACACTCGCACACAGATCGAAAAGAATACGATGGACAGAACAGACTTATATACAGTGAGGAGCAAGGAAAATTCTAAGGTAATCAGATCGTTACAGAACCTATTAATGTATTAATTGGCACGTGGCTTCAATGAAGATAAATTAGGCCAACTACTTCCCGTGCCCTCCGAATAAATACAAAGGAGCTCGGAACAATTTTTCGGTCAGCAATCCTATGACAAGCCCTTGCGAAAGTTGCTTAACCTCGCCAATCGCACCGCCATCGAGCTTATCTAGAGAAGAAACTCCAAAAAATCTATTGATAAAATAATAAAAAAGAAGCTAGAATTTGTTAGTTATTCACCTGTACAGGGTTTACCATATAAGTATGCTTTTTACAAAATTACTTTTACCGTTTGAAATTAATATGACTCAGTTACACTGACCGATGGGATCTGCACATGGAGTACGACCTCTGCGCGCTCTACTCATTGGTCAATAAAGCAATGACCCAACAATTAGAGAGATAAACAGAAATCACCCGCACGCCTAACAAAAGTTATCGAACAATGTAAATGAGCTAATTTCGATTAAACGAAAAAATATTATTTGTTTTTGATACATTTATAATCATAAATTACCTAATTTTTAGACCCACAACCGAAGCATATTCCTAGACTGTGAAAATTCTTCGTTCAATATGAAGATGGAACACCTGCTCACTAGGAATATATACAGGTAATATTTTTATTTATTTATTAATTCATTCATTCATTTATTCATTCATCCATTCATTCATTAATTCATTCATTCATTAATTCATTCATTCATTCATTCATTTATTCATTCATCCATTCATTCATTAATTCATTCATCCATTCTTTCATTAATTCATTCATTTATTTATTTATTTATTTGAGCAACCAACAAGGTCAAACACTATACATGCAAATAAATTAATAATAAATAACAAAGACAATGTGCTGCCTTAATTAAAGGTTACCACGACATGCATATGAAAATGTAACCTGGAAGCGCGTGGCCCCAACAATAAACAAGCTTAAATGTAAATTCAGCATAACATACTTTTTTAAATTAAAAGTAAAGAAACTTAATAGGTTAAATCTAATAGTGACTATGGTTAATAAAATATTGCCATTGACATCAAGCTACACATTTAATTATATATTTATTATTTTATTATATTGCTTTGTGTATTTTTTAATTTCTTACTATTTTATTTATGAATTTCACTAACCTCCAAACTATTGAAATAGCAGCGCATTTCAATTATAAACACAGCGTCAAACACAGCGTTATTGAAGCATTATAAGTTCAATCAAAGCAGTATTGAATCACGACAAATCTCTTATTTCGTACACAAGAAGCTTTTAACAAAACGAATATCCGAGCAATTGTTCCAGCCTTATCAGGTACTGCAAAATATTTAGTTACCCCTAGCTACCGAAATCCTGTCTGAGAAAAACTGGCCAGTTCTTAGGTAATAACTTCTTGCTAGGGGTAAATAAATAAGTCAAATGTATTTTAAAATAATTTAATTTAATCAATTAAATGTAAGCGTTGCCATAATATATACATTTTTGTGTTGTGAATGTGTGAAATAGTATTGTTTTGAAAGTAGCGATACTCTTAATTAAAAAGACAATCAGCACCTTAGTCTTATGTGTACACGCCACCTGTAAGGGGTCCTAAACGACTAAAACTAAATACAAACGCAATGAAACAGTTTAAAAGTTGTTTCATTTATGGATAGCGCGCTTGAAAATATAAGAAACCAATAGAAGATAATTTTACATGAATTAGTAATATTGGCATTTGCAGAAAAAGTAAAAGCATGAAACTTAATAACACCTCAAATGTCGTATAGATTCTACAACCGTTAGTTATCCTTAATAAAATAAAACAAATGTCATCCATTAATATGGCATATCTAGACCATCAGGAACATCAAAGAGTTTTTGTAATTTAACTACTATTAAGCTAAAAGAAAACTATTATTAATCTGATGAGACATTGTCTATCATATCTAAAGAGGCCGCTAGATGCGCCTTAGCGGGTGAATGTGGAGAATTTAAAAAGTTTTGCGAGTTATAATTCTGTGGTGGCAATACAGCTCCAGACTTGCACGCAAGCGCAAAGGAAATAAAAAAGTTGTAACAAAATAATAAAAAACTTTAAACTTTTTTAAGTGTGGTCTTTTATTTTTCTCGTCTAGCATGATGAAATATCTTGAACCAAAGAGACTGATGCTGCGAGCCATCACCATGTTCGTGTCTCCCCCCTCCACATCATGTGGAATCATCCATCTCCACAACGAGGCCATCTTAAATGTCAACAGGGGAGTAAAAGCTACGTTTCTGATTGAAAATCTGGCTTCGATCGTGGAGTACTTTTCTGGTGACAAAAACGTTTTGAAGACTTCTCTACTTCTGAAAGACTATAGGTAAGCATTCCTTTACTGGATAGGCTAATTGCGAACAGAGTTGTAATGTTATGGAGTGAATCATGACGCATACGCAGCAACATTTCTCTTATCGCGATGTCATATATCATAGGCACAATAATAGGAACATTTACTTATTTTGTTTATTTGTCCATCAGGTAGATTATTTGAGAATATTTCACATATTTTTTCTTTATTAATAAATTACGGTGATATATTGAATTGAAATGTTGAATGATGTCACACCTTTGTATATTTTCTACATAGTTGTCAGCAAGCACTCCTCAAATTTAATGCCTTTTATCTAAACTTCTTGGTCTAACAATTACGTACTTTTAAAATCACGAACTCAAACCAAATTACATTTTTTAAGGTACTGCATTTTTGAGGTTTAAATAATTAGAGCAAACATAATATGTTAACCATACCGCCCCAAATACGAGCGCCATAGGCAGTTGCCTAGTTTACCAATATGGCCGAGCAAGCTCTGGTTAAGGTATTTAAAGGTTAATGTGCCATCGAAAACATAGAGGTGCTTCTAAGCAAACTTGGAACTTCACTACGACTCATTACAAACTGAGGGTTAGCTAATTATAAACTAATTGCTTATCCAATATTGCTGATCCAATAATTAAAAAGTATATTTTTTCTTTGTCTAGACAAGACACGGAAACGTCAGGTGAATTTTTAAACTTCGAAATGGACTTCGGAATAAAGAACCAAGATAAGAATATAGTGACTAGACTCGAGTTTAACTCTAGCGATGTTGTGAGGGTGAGCAACGCAAAAATATGATAAAATTAATTTATTCAACATTTCAGATCCCAGTTTCACTTGGTGAAGAATATATGCATGTCGTGTGTTCATAAGTTTTGAGACAAACTTTTTACTGAAAAAATAAAATAAAACGTTATTGGCTGTTTTTTTTTACCATTTTGAATTTAGAATGTTTACTTTTAGTTTATTTATATCGCAAATTTATTTGTTTATATTTTCTCTTGATGGAAGGAACAAAACAATTACGTGCAATTGTCATTTCGCTATTAAAGGCGAGAAAAAAACCGATGCAGATTTTCCGCGTACTGTAAAGTTTTCCTGTAAGCCGTAACTTCGTCTATTACCTAATACAGCGGTACAGAGAGATAAGTTCTCTGCAAGATCGCCAAAGAAGTGGTCGGCCGCGCTCTGTGAGGACGCCCACGATGGATTTGATCAAAAACCATTCTCACAATTATAACTTTATTCTGCCTAGCTTTAAAGCCTGAAAGGTTCGCATATGACGTCGCTATTCTGAAATCTTGAATTCGAATCTCGGCTGAAATAATATAATACTCCAATGACCATATCTTCTATTAAGTTTGCTTTTCGATTCACTTAACTTGGCTATTGTGGATTTTTAACCTATTATTTTATTTTCTTTTTTTTAGACTTTTATCGAAAACAACGATTATTTGTACTTAGGCGACAGACATACAGCATTGCATTCTAAGCACAGGAGTCATATAACAGCTGGATTCTACAAACCAAGTGAAAACAACAACACACAACAAGAAGTATTGTTACTTAACGTGTCTGTCGACACCGCTAAAGAACTAACGGGAGAAAAGAGGATAGATGTTAGGTTCTCTCACGAGGACAACGTGGTATTGGACCCCTTCACGCGTCTGATACTTCCGTTTTGCTCTAAAGATTCTGAAGAGAGCGGCTTTAAGGAGATGCAGGTAAAAATTATTTTTGCCGACACCTGGTAATTAATCTCATTATCATCATTAGCCTATGGTATGCGAAGGCCCACGCCTTCTCTATGGAATGGATAGAATCAAATAAGGACAGGCCATAAACCAACACGTGAATCCTGTACGGATTTTTCTCCTCCTACATGAATCTATATTCACTAATTATAGGGCAAACATTTTCCGCTTCGTTCCGGCGGCCCAATGCTGTCGTATATACATATTTGGTTACAGAGCAAAACGAAGCCTACTCCACAGGTCTTCGTATATCTTGTAATTTGTGAAAATTCGTTAATTTACTTCTAAGTTGCAGTCCAACTTGTTCTTATTTCGTATAGAAAATAATAGATTTTCGTAGTTGTTAGACTTATAAAATTAATTCCATTGATTAGTATAATCTAACTCTTAAATAAATTTACTTTAAGGTTACTGGAGAATTCACCCGAATGTTTAAAAGGTAAAATCTAGGTTATATCGAAGTAGAATTAGCTATGTTACTCTCTAATTTACCAACTACCTCTGAATCATATAAAAATCTCACCACAATGTCATATTTTACGACGCAAAAGAAAAAAAAAAAAGTGAACGCCCTATCCCGCTTACAATATTGTATTTATTCACAGCTACCACAAGACATATGGGTGCCACTATACCTCTCCTGCATTTCGGAATCATTCAAAATGCCTCTTCTAGATCTTGCTACGAGCAACACTGATATTTCTGCGGTATTAAAGGTATATAAAATATATTGAATACAACATTTAGTGGAATAATAACATGAATATGTTAGGAGTTAAGAATAAAACAATAAGTACATTACAAATTTCTAGTTATATAGTTTCATTTTTAGGTTTCCGTAATAAACGAGGAACCTTATAGTTTCACCATATCTGTCTATCCGTCCGTCCGCGATTTAGCTCAAAAAGTATTGGTACTAGAAAGTTTTAATTTGGCATAAGTATACACGTTAATTACGCCGACAAAGTGGTAAAGTAAAATTTGGAAAAAAATAGTTATTTAAGATACGAGTGCGGAAAGTAAGGTTTTACGAATAAGGGCCTAAAATGGCACGAATTCGAAAAACCTTTTACGCTTAAGTTTCTTACAACATTTTTCAATACTTTTTGCGAGGAAATAAAACAAATATATAGGTTAATAAAACTAAGTATGTATTAAAGGTAACAATTATTTTTTAAATTAAACGTGACATTTGAAAATGTTTTCGTATCATACATTTTTATTTGAAAATATTCGTTCAAGGCTCCTTGACATACTTTTGCCTCTAAAGTTTGACATATTTTCATCAATTTTTTTTAAATTTCTTTGGTCCTCGGCCAAAAAATACTCTTAAGCACGTGTGCAGTAAAGGATTTCAGTACATTTTTATTTAAAACATGTTTGAAGACTCACTTTCGGTGTTTACAATGGATTAAAAAATAGCGCTTTATGAGCAACTGCATTGAAAAGATTTTAAGGTACCTCCCCTGCATGTAACATGGGGATGATAATTTTTTTTCGTCTTCCTCATAGTGTGGGGCATCGTTGGATAGGTCTTGAAGACATTGAAGGTGGGGGTTTGTAAGTCACAGATTAAACTTTAAAGAGCTAATTTTCGTTAGAGTCAAGTGTCCCCCCCCCTCTGCTAACTAAACGGTCGTTGGTAAAAGTTAAAAGGAAAAATATCACACTTAAGTTGGCTTTACGAGTAACAGTTGACCAATTATATTTTACTTGAAAATTTCGAACAACTTCAAAGAAAACAACAAACGCGATATTTTAAACTTTTTTGTATGGAACCCTTTGTGCGCGAATCCGACTCACACTTGGTCGTTTTTTGTTTTTCTTTATTTAATATTAGTTTTTCTTAGTTCTACTGTTAAACATTTTAAAACGATATTTAAACAGGAAGGTGTGACATCGGTTAAGGTAACCAATAGTCCTGATATGAGGTTGAAATCACCAGAGATCGTCTGGTGGATGGACAACTGGATTACATTGAAGAAGATTACCACATTTGGACTTTATCGTACGTATTCAATGAATTGCGCAAACCAAGAAAAACAACTAACTGAAAGCTGGAGCAAGATAAAAAAATAACTTATTATTCAATTTCATGCCTCCTACTGCATGTTATGTATGATGGTGCTTTTTTAATCTTATTCCAGCCTTTTCAATTGGTTGTTTTTCACGCAGGTTTTTTGTCTTCTTTTTATTCTTAATATTAATTAGACAACTTATCAGGTTCGTACAGAAAGTAAAAGAGCAAAGTCCATATTTTTAAACTTTGTCATTGTGTTTTTTTTATTACTACGGTAATGATAATCATGGTAAAATTGTAATATATTAAAGTTTTTTATTATTATTAAATATAATGGAGTCACACATTGTTTGAAAGTTACCTATATACGAACACTTTGGCTACTAAGACAAATCTAACAATACCTAAATTATCTAAGACCTTTCAGCGGCTCTGAAGATATCAGGTAATAAAGAATATTACATATATACATACGTACAAGATACTCGTGAAACACATAACCCGTCCATTGCAGTCGGGTAAAAATTATATATCGTAAAGAAAAATGTCATTAAGAAGAATGTTCATAAACCGAATTTAATTTACAAAAACAATGTTTGTTAAACATAGGAGGGCCACACTGTTGTCTGTTTGTTTTCTATGGTCAGCTTGTATTGTAATGTTATTTTTATTTTTACAGAGGAATGTAGGTTGCAGGATTCTACTGTGCAAACGTTGAATGGCTCGTTAAGGACAATAAATTCGACTAATGAGGAGACAATAGCTCTAGCCGACTGCACTGAAATACCAAGGTATATCGGATAATGGGAGAAAATCTAATATATCCGCTAATTTATGATTTCAGATACTATGAAGCTTAACAAAGTTCACTAATTCTTGTCCGATTCCAGATTTGCAGTACTGAGGCAGAAGTCTGGGGGTGTGACAGTATACGCCGGTGGTAAATCAGTATCTACTAAATTGGAACAAGGAAGCGTAAACTGGGTCATAAACGGGGGTGCCCCAAGGATCCATTTTAGGTCCGCTTTAATATAACTCTCATGTTGTTATAAATATCGTATTTAGACTGACATTGTAACAACATAGCTTTTAGTCAATACTGTTATCGAAATGAGTACTTTCATTTAAGACTTGACATTCTCAGTCATGATAATATGTTTTGATAATATAATTGTGTTTTTTTTTCTTCAGAATAACACAACTGTCCGATGGTGTAAAAATACAGCCTAAAGGCTCTGGAATACAAGTGTATAACAGGATAAACGAAACAGTTATACTTGTACCGAATTCCCATCTACACGCCGTCTGTGGAGAGTGTACTGCAGATACACATTGAACACGTTTATATTAACCTATATGTTCTAATAATATGTAGTTAACTATATTATGATATAATATCAAATGACCTCGCTGACGTAGCAAGCGTTGGTGTAATTGAAATTAGATACGAATTAAACTGACGACAAAAGTTCTGAATCTTTTAGAAAAAGGTCAAGTACTCCCAATGTGCCAACGTGAGATATATATTTTTTTAATTTATAAGAATACATAGTAAAGTACCTACTAAAATATCGTTCATTATAGTGTCTTGGAATAAGATTTGCACAGTGTTGTTAAATAAAGTAATAACTTAAGTATTGGTTTATTAAATAATGTTTTATAGATGTTTAATAATTGCAACAATCTATTTCAATAAAATATTAGGTACCTATCTAATTAAATGTCAACTACCTGAGTGTTTCCTGAAATTAACCTTATAGAATTATTTTAAATAAATTAAATATATTATATAAAAAAAAACTTTTTATTATTAAAACCTAACTTAACGAAAGCTATGTCTTATCATAAGGGATTATATAAGGTATACGAAAATAGACTTCTCTATTTTGTCTCGGGTCTGGATGATGTGTTACCATCTTGGAATCTGAGCAATGTATGTAATGTTGTCTAATATAATTTACACTAAAATAATAATAAATTATTTGGCGTATTGAGAAAAAGGAACTTTGAAATTTAATTTTTAACTAGCAGCGGATTCGCCCGTTTGTCCCTAGGGAACCATTTAGTGGATTAAAAGTTTCCTACTACTTAGTCAGCTAATACCCTATCTGTATACGAAATTACATCAAAATCCGTTCAGTAGTTTTTGCGTGATTGACGGACAAACATCCAAACAAAGAAACTTTCACATTAATAATATCAGTAAGATAAGTAAATCGAGTGAACCAATGGCAAGCACTGCAAAACTTATATGCGACATGGAAATGCCTCGATTATTAGTTTATCTCTCAATGGTTATTTTAGAGCTGTAGGTAATGTATATTTAAGGTAAGGACTGTCATATCTTAAAAATATAAGTCCTTGAAAATAGATTAAAAACAATAAGTAAATCAAAATATTCTATGCATAGAAAATTTACTATTATATCAAATAATTACTATGATAATTCCGCCCGCATAACAATTCAGTGAGGTTCTTATCAAACCCGTGTTTTTTTTTTGTAAAGAAACACTATTCGTTGATGTTTACTTGTAAAAAAAAAATGTTTGTGTGTACATTCATAGGATTTCAAAACACACACTGAATATTGATGAAAATTATCAAATTGTAAAATTATATATAGAGTCATCTCTTAACAGAACACTAGCAATGCAAAAACTTTAGTAATTTCGATTTTTTTTTTGTAATTATGATTTAAATATTTGATTACAAAAATTTTGTTTTTAATAAATATTCAATTCGAAATTCTAAGGGCTGAGTTCACAAAATTATTATACATTAAAACAAATGTCTCGTTCATTTGTAGTTGCATTTTCTGACTCATAAAAGCCAATACTATAAAGAGATATTCAAAAAAAATATAGTTCTTCAGAGCAGAAAAATATTGTCTTTTTTTAAATAATTATTATACACGATAATAAATAAAGTGTTCTTAAACCAATTTATATGGAATTTTTTTTTTTAAATATAAGATTTTGTACTCTAAACATCTATTTTGGTTTTGAAGGTTACTTCGTGTTTGCTTTTCAGCGTCAAAGTGTACATATAATAGTTTTTATAATATGAAAAGGCAATGGAAACTGCATAGAGGCCATTTAAAAAAGAAAATATCGTTGAAAAGGAACAAACCCGCGATAAAAACATTGTCGGACCTGTATATATTTAAACACATGACAGTTTCCACTTTATTTTATAGAAAAATGTTCTTCAGAAGTGTTACGTTTTTTATGCTTTTAATTGTCATGAAAGCAGGTGAGTTTTGTTTAATATCTATATTTAATCCAGACCCGAAGTCGAAGCCACTCATGTGTCCGGATTCACGTAATTTAGTGCAGAAATTCTATTGTTTTAATTTTTTTATATAAAAATACAAAACAAAATTGATTGAATATATGTCTAATTTATTCTATTCTTATGTTATTTCGAAACTCACTTCACTTTTGCCACATAACGTTAATACCAATTCAAGGTTGAGCGGATGCCGCTTTTCGAAGTGAATTTGGGTTTGGATTTTTATAGAACGCAGGGCTGGTGTTATGTAAAAATCCAAAACCGAATTCGAATACACTGAGATATCCGAATTAACTTCAAAAAGCGGCATCCACTGTCTCGATTTGGTTATAACGTTTCGTGGCATAAGTGTAGTGAAACTCACTTGAATGATTGATATAAGAACAAAATATTTGTGACACGTATAATCGATCAATTTTGTTTTGTCATCACCATCACCAGCCCTTTTACGTCCCCACTGCAGCTCAGGCCTTCCTTATGGATGGTTAAGGAGGACCCTCCACGCTGGCCCAATGCGGATTGGAGGGTATTAACGACTGCAAATGCAGCCGGGACCAACGGCTTAACGTGCCTTCCGAAGCACGGAGTAGCTCGAGATAATAATTTTTGGTCACCCATCCCGTGACCGACCATTGCGAAAGTTGCTTAACCACTACGATCGCGGGCCGCGGCGCTTATCTACTACGCCACCGAGCTATATTTTGTTTTGTACTTATATAATTAAAAAAGGGGATCAATAGAAATTTCTTCACTGAGTGACGTGAATCCGGACACATGAGTGAATTCGAATTCGTGTTTTAATTTTTATAGAATCGCAAAGCTGATGAGGTTATAATTAAATAAGCTTTTCAACACTAATTATGTAAAAGAAATAACGAATAAGGACATTGATTTTGTGAAACCAAAAATCTATATTTATCTTCATGCCGTATCCATTATACACAGAGAAGACCGTGTACCACAAGGCATGGTCTTTACATACATACTCGCCGGTTTCCATGACTTATGACGTCACCTTTTAACAGCACACGATTGATTTGATCGTGATAGATGTCTCTTGGCCTTCTTCAGCTTCTGCATCCTTCCACTCCCGTGTGGTATATAAATTTTCTCATTCTTTCATCTGTTATATTAACAAAAATGTAAATTTTAGTCATTATCTTTAAAAAAAAAATCATAAAGATGCCTTGTCACTGATTAATCGTTAACTAAAAAAGTGAATTGTACATCCTACTTTTTTACTGTCTAATTTTATGTTAAGAAATTACGTTCTTAAACCTTGTGTTTATTTCTGACAAAATCTAGCTTCTCGCTCCCTATAATTGATGCTAATTTGTATGCGAGTAAGCACGTTATTACAACCGGGCGCTAAGAGGCAATTTCTTAGTTAATCAAATAAGAAATTGGACGATTAAATGAAATGGGTAGTTAAACTATGCAACTAAATTATGAAAAAAGACAGATTGTTATTATATATGATCAATTTCCAATTCACAATGGCACTCTGAGATGGGATTCGAACCCATGATATTTCGCAATCTGGACGACTGCTAACCTAACCTAACCTAACCACTGAAATACCCAGAACCTAACAGGACTGCCGAATCTTTGAAGCACATGTTTTTGGCTATTACAGAGCGTATTCATATCAATGTGCAGGACAAAGTGGATTTTTAAGCATTATTCATTAAGAATGTTTTTAGTATAGTATTTTGAATGCGAAATAGATTAAATATAGTAATTAAAACAAACAAATAAAACAAATTTTCATTTTTATCGAATGTTTAAATATTTGTAAAAATATTTCTTTCGGCTGTTTGGGTGGATTGCCTGAACATTGATACCCAAAAAGCAAAACGGGAACCCTGCTACTAAGACTTCGCTGTTTGTCTGTCACCAGTCTTTATCTCATAAACAGTGTAAGTTAGACAGTTGAAATCTGTGAAAACAGAAGATGTATTTCTGATGCCGCTTCAACAACAAAACTAAAAACCAGTATAAAATAAATATTTAACGGGTCTCCCATAAAACAAACGTGATTTTTTTACCACTACGGAACCCTTCGTGGGCCTACACGCACTTCACTGGTTTTTTAACATAATATTTGTAATAACATTTATTTAATGTTACAGCCAGTGTTTATGTAGTGAAATCTATATGTAGTATAAATGAAATTCGCTGCCCGTCGTACTCTGAGTTCTTTTGAACTACACAAATTATTTTAATTAGGTTTTCATTAATATACAGAGTAATTTAAGAGGAATAATAATAATAATACACTTTATTGCACAACAAAGGAGAACATACAAGATACACAAAGATAGCGAAGCAAATGACGACCTTATCGCTTAAAAGCGATCTCTTCCAGGCAACCGCAAAAAGGAAATTAGATACGGAGAACAATTTAGGGCAGTGCATTTGAGCAAAGTATACTTTATACATATGAATATATAATGCAATTAATTCACACAGATACACACACACACACACACACACGCACACGCACACGCGCACGCACACACACACGCACGCACACACACAAAAATTTAACATACAGAAATTTTATATTATCTACAATAAATATTATTTGGATGTACATAGCACGCGAGAGATAGTATTCTGAAACTAAATTTTTAAAAATATTTAAAGACTGAGCTCGCCTCGCAGCATCCGGCATCTCGTTCCACAGACGTGCGGCGTGTACAGTAAAGGACCTGTCAAACAATCTAGATGAATGCATAGGCATCGCGAGTCTCGGGTTGTCCGATGATCTCAAGAGACGGGAGTGGGTGTTACAAAGAAATTGGAAACGCTTTTTAAGATAAGCAGGGGAAACAGGATTATATAGGACATTATATAACAAAGAAACTATGTGAGCATTCCGGCGAAGTCAAATAGGCAACCACGTAGTACCACGTAGTAGTAATAAAACATGCAGCAGTACACAACGCTGTTATAGTATTACACATTCGATCGAATAAATCCCTTACTAATTTTTAAATTAGGTTTTATTTAAATGAGCCTGCTGTGTTCGATACAGGTTGCAACCGCCTAGCTCCCTAACTATGACGATAAATATAATATATGACAT